TTTTTTTTTTTTTTTTTTTTGTGGGAGGAGGTAGTGGGGTTTAAACTCATGGCCTACACCTTGAGCCACCCCACAATCCCTTTTTTGTGATTTTTTTTTTTTTTGGAAATAGGGTTTTGCAAACTGTTTGCCCAGGCTGGCTTCGGACCACAATCCCCCTGATCTCTCTCTCTTTTTTTTTTTTTTGGTGGGACAGGGGTTTGAAGTTAGGGCTTCACAATTGCAAAGCAGGCACTCTATAGCTTGAGCCACACCTCCAGTCTCCAAGCCCTCTCTCGTGTTGAGTATTCTCAAGATAGGCTCTCGTGAACTATTTGCCTGGGTTGGCCTCAAACTGCAGTCCTCCTAACCTCTGCCTCCTGAGTACTAGGATTACAGGTGTGAGCCACTGGTGCCAGGATAGAACATACCTTTTGAGGGTCGTAGAGGCCTCCCACATGCTCTGTGGGTTTGGGGTTTTAGAACACAGAAAGGGCAGCCTTTCATTTTATTTCTTAGATTTTTATGGGTTTTTTGGGGGAGGGCAGTACTGGGGTTTGAACTCAGAGCCTCACACTTGCTAGACAAGCACTCTACCACATGAGCCACTTCACCAGCCCTTATTTCTTAGATTCTAAATGTCAGAGATTTGGTTTCAGCAAGAGAACTAAGTTGCAGGAGTGCCTGGGAGAAGAGCTGCTTATAACTGAGGAATTCCCCTCTCAGGAAACTCAATTCACCCTCACATGGCAGATGCTCTTAGCTCCAGGTCCATCTATCTGCCTGGAAGGCAAAAGCGACCCAAGTAGACTCAGATCCTCACCAGGATCTTCATTTGCATTTTTCTAAATGAACTATGCTTCACCTGAGCAAGTGAGGCCCTCTCTCTCCTTTCATCTTTTCCAGGACATGGCTCCAGTCATTTTCTCCTGTTGCAACCTCACATCTGTCTTCAACCTTCCCATTTACCTGATCCTCTCACAGCAAAACTGTGAAGCGCTGTCTCCACTTGCTGTTTCTTCTTTCTTTACCTAACCCCACTGCTCCACTGCAGCAGCTTGACAGCGTCTCCAATAACCTCCAAATTAACCTTCATTTGACCCAGTCTCTCTGAACGAAACAGCTGATCAGCACTTACATCTCAAACCCCTTTTTCTCTTGGCTCTACGTCGCTAACCTCTCCTGGTTGTCCTTCACCTCCATGGTGGTCTCTGCTACCTCCTTAGACCTCCACGAGCCCTCAGAGTTGGAGGGCTCAGTCCTGGGACCTCTTTTCTATCTACATTCATTCATAGAGCGAAATGTGTGCCTCAAATGGTGAGGTGAGAGCGGGAGAGATATTTGTCAATACAGGGTGTGGACATCACTTTCAATCTGAACAATATTTACTTAAGTAGAAGATCTGATACAGCCTAGGGCTGGAGATGTAGCTCAGTGGTACAGTGCCTGCCTGGCATGCACAAGGCCCTGAGTTCAAATCCCAGCACCACCAAAAAAGAAAAAAAAAAAAACAAAAAAAAACCCCTGATACAGCCTAGGCAGTAATTGTAATTAACCCTAGGGCGGTGACTGCCTGTGTACGTGGGTATTTATGCAAATGACCAGTTTGGCCTCGTTCGGGTGATGTACGGACACCAAGGGGTTGTGTGGGAAGCAAAGGAAGGAATCCAGTCAAGGGGATATTTCCCTCATTCTGAATATTTATTCTTATGAGAGTGGTCTGTCCCTCTTTCATCCTGGGAGTTACTACCACGGTGAAGATATCATTTCTTTTTGAGTGGGAGGGAACTCGTGTGTATCCCCCAGTATCTAGAAGTATCCACCCAGACAAGCCCGGCATTAAGTGCAGCTAGTTTACCAGGTAGTTTCGCACTCTTTTGCACGGTACATGCTCTTCAAAACAGACACAGTCTAGGCAAACGTGACTCGAGCAGAATTTACTTGAGTTAAGTTCTTACCTTGCAGAAAAGAAGCAGAGCCGTCCGGCCGGGACAGCAGGTTTTGTTCACAAGCAAAGTGCCGGAGGCTGCAGCCCGGACCCCGAGGACTGGACTCTGATCCAGTATCAGCATCCATTGCCGCAGATCCCACGTGCGGCCGCCGCTGCCGCTTCCGCCCAATTGCGCGCGCACGCTTGCGTAGAGGCTGCGTACGTAATGCGCAGGCGCCGATCCAGGGGAGGGGGGCGCAGTCTGAATTAGTGCCCGCACGTGGTTCAGCGTTTACCAACAATCTGGCTCCGCCCATTCCCGCCTCCTAATTCGGCAAAGCCATTGGACAATAGCGAAGAGGGGCCGGGTCTTAGCATGAGCTCATCCTACTTAAGGCCCCTGGGCCCTAAACCCTTGAGGCTTTGATCAGGTTGCCTTCTTGTTGCCTGTTATAGGAGTAACTATAATTAAACTATTCGAGTAATTTGGAGGAGTATACATTGTATTTTCTACCAATATGTACTTCCTGGATGCCGTATGATAGGAAACAGGCGTTTCGTTGGCAGGGTTGTGCTGCCATTTGAATCAGGCTTATGAGGGGGCAGCCCTCGGTCTAGCTAAGAGAGGGGCGGATCACCCAGCGCTTGTTAGCCAAGATGGCGGCAGCGGTTTCTGCGGCGAGGGTCTGGGGGCCAAGCCGAGGGCTGTGTCAGGTTGCCCTCTTGCTACTGCGGCGGCCTGGGGCGCGAGGGTTGGCTAGATTTGTGAGTACCGAAACCTCCCAGGGGGTTTCTCTGAGAGCGAATGGGGATTTAAAGATTTTTTAAAGTGTGGCAGGAAAGGCGCTCATCAAAGGGAATAGGACTGGGAGACCACTTAGGACACTCAAGGGAGGAACCTCTAACTCCTTGGAGAAGAGCCGAGGCAGCCGCCTTGTGAGGCCTGAGGGAGGGAGACAACTTGGAGAGTGAGATGTGGGTCCCCATTCGTTGCCTTCCTGGAGAGACAGGAGAGAACACCTTTTCCCCCAAGGTTTGGAGAATGAAACTGAGTTAGTAAAAAGGAAACACTCTTTTTTTCTTCCCATCTCTTTTTTTACCCCCCCTTCCCGAGCCTTAGTCCAGGCGGGCCTCGAACTCTCGATTTTCCTTGCCTCGTGATAATTCCTGCTGGGATTACTGGCATGCGCCACCAGCACCTGGCCAAGGGGACTGTTTTTTGGGTAGAGAGCATTCTTGAAAGAGGAGAAAGAAAAAAAAAAAAATCAGATCCCTGTCGTGGACTTTTATAGGGCTTTGCATTTCTTTGCACCTTTACCCTAATTCTAATTTTAAAATGAGTTGCACAAGAAATTTGTATGATCCTCCTGCCCTCTGATCGAGAGTTGAAATCGGGACTTTGTGTGTTGTGCAAACTGATCAATATGTATTTGTTGAATTTATGACGGAAGAGAGGTCTAGATAGGGCCCTTTGCCCGTATCTCTTAAAAACAGTTGAAAAAGCTTTGTTTCTTACCAAAAGGCTCCAAATTCCTTTTGATACGTGCTTCTAAGTGCAAGATAAGGCTGCAAAAAAAAAAAAAAAATGAGAGAGAGAAGGAGGGAAGGAAGGAAAGAAAATAAGAAAATAAATCTAGTTGGAAGTCCCTGATCAGGGAAGGAGAGGCAGTAGACTACAGCAGATGTGGTAACAGTTGGATTCTGGAACTAGACCACATGAGTTCGTATCCTGGCCTCTTTTTTTTTTTTTTTTTGGTGTCAGACACTGTACTGCTTGAGCCACTCCACTAGCCCTCAGCCACTTTCCAGTTCTGTAGCTTTGGGCAAGGGACTGCACCTTGCACCTCTCTGGATCTAATTTTCCTCTCCATAAAATACTGATAGTGGCCACCTCATAGCGTTGTTGTGGAAATATATAAAGCATTAAGAACTGGACCTAGTACATGGTAAGAGCGATAAGAAGGTTGGCAACTTCTTAGAGAAGGTGGAAGGAAGGGACAGAAGCTGACACTGGAAATTGGAGAGGGAAAGAGGTGATCTTGGTGGGGGGACTGTGTCAGCAATGCTCTGAAGAAGCATCTCAGGATCTTGTGAGGTTGTGTCTGACCCTCTCCCCAGTTCATAAGGGAGGGAAGATGGAATGTGAAGGAAGAGGTTCTGGGTAGAAGAAATGGGAGGAGATGGAGTGGATGGGCCAGAGTAAGGAGTGGCTACCTAAGAAGAGAGTCTTTGGAGCCAGGTAAATGTGGAAGGGTTACAGGAGCAGTACAGGGCAGTTTCCTGCTTGTAGGCTGTTTCTCCCTTTCCCCCCTCCTCCCTCCCCCCTCCCTCCTCCCTTCTCCCTTCTCCTTTTCCCTCTCACAATTGAGGACTGAAGTTTTTTTGTTTGTTTATTTTGTGGTATTGGGGATTGAACCCAGAACGTGGCACATTTGAGGAAAGCATTTTGCTACTCCACTAGCCTGTTGTTTACTTTTTTTCTTTTCTTCTTCTTCTTCTTTTTTTTTTTTTTGAGATAGGCTCCTCTCTGTGTATCCCATACTGACCTGGGACTAGAGATCCTCCTGAGTGCTGCAATTACAGACGTGCACTACTACACCCAGCCTACTGAACACTTAAATGTGGTTAGTGCAACTGATGTTTTTTTAAACTCAGGGCCTCACGTTTGCTAGGTAGGTGCTCTACCACTTGAGCCACTCCGCCAGTCCTTTTTTTGTGTTGGGTTTTTTTTCAAGGTAGGGTCTCATGAAGTATTTGCCCCAGGCTTGTTTTGAACTGCCATCTTCCTGATCTCTGCCTTCTGAGTAACTAGGATTACAGACATGAGCAGCTGGCACCTGGCCTGAAGTTTTAATATTACTCAATTTTAATGAATTTATTTATTTATATATTTTGGCAGTACTGGGGTTTGAATGAGTTTAAGTTTAAACAGCATAAGCTTAAACTGCCTTCTTGGAGGGTGCAGCTTTATCCAGGTGGAGATGAAGAGCTAGTATCTTAGCAGAAAGTGGGAAGGTTGTACTGTTACGGTGGATTTGATTGGATTACTGGGGCAGGTGGTTTGGGAGGCGGAATGTGGCTGCCTTTTTCTTGTCCCTGCCTTCTTCTCCTTTCACCATACCCCTTTCTCTGAATACCCCTGCGACCCTGGAGGCGTTTATATCTCCCTTCTTTGCCCTGCTGTCATAACAGATGTTTTTCATGCTCAGGGAGAAGAAGAGAAAGGAAATTCAGATTGTAAGGGAGTCATGAATCAGTTTTGCAGGTACCGCCCCAGAGCTGGGTCTGGTCAAACCATTCACTTCTTTGACCCCAGCTTGTGGTGTGAATAGAGTCCTACCCTGCTGGAAGTCAAGCAGCAGTGAGAGCTCGATCTGTTCTCTTTATTAATCACGTCAGTTCTCCCGCCCAGCTGTGGGATGGCCTGTCCCAAGGCTCCAGTACCCTGTGTGTGACCGATCTCCAGGTGGTAGGCGCCCAGTGGGTAGTGTGGGAATGGAGGTGGCCATTCCTGATCTCCTGAGTGTAGGAGACCATTTCCCTCTCTGCTGATGTCTGTAGAAATCTGGTTTCTTTTTTCACATCACAAAGCATTATGTGATTCACAATGCCAACTTACATTCATTATTATATTTTAAAACAGCCACACTGAAAGCAAGGTCTGTAGTAGCAGTACCTTCCTATGAGAGATAGGGAAACTGAGGCTCAGAGATGTAAACTCTGAATGGGGGCTTTGGACTCCAAAATCCAATTTCTTTCCATGGTACCGAATTGCCAGAAGGAGGGATGATGCTTAGGTTCTGGTCTTGTAATATTCGCTTAGTCTAGTCCTGATGTACGCTGCCAGCCTCTAACCACGCTGCCTGACCTGGCCGTTGAGTCTGGGTAGAAGTTACTTTGAGGAAAGCTGGCCTCTAGCCGCAGTGTGCCCTTCCCTCTCTACATTTCAGTCCCACTGGCCATCTTTTTTTTTTTTTTTTTTTCAGTGCTGGGGATTGAACTAATGATCTTGTGTATGCTAAGAAAATACTACTGAGCAACATCCCCAGCCCTACTTTAAAGATTTAAAAAATTTTTGTCAGTGCTGGGGAACCCAAGTCCTTGCATATAGTAAGTACTCTATCTCTAGTCATATTTCTCCCAGCCCTTTTGTTTGAATTTTGTTTCTGAGATAGGTCTCACTAATATTGCCCAAGCCTCCATCCACTGCCTCCACCTCCAGAGTAGCTGCAATTATAGACATGTGCTGCTATACCTGGCTCGTAGTTTAAAAATCTTGACTTTATTTGTGATTGTAGGATAGGCCAGTACTTTATTCCATAAAACAAATAAGTGTTTTAGTGAGTTTGGGCAGAAGAGGAGGTTGGTTTTATAGACAGACAAAGGCTTGGTAAGGGTTAAAGCAGAGGGAACTTCGTTAATATACTGATCAAAACAGGCCACTTGGGAAACTTGACTAGCACTCCTCATTTTTCTGAAGGTCAGATAACAATTTAGTTTTGGTTTGGAAACAAGGAACTTTAGCATGAGTGACTCCATTTTGATTTTTTGTCCTGTCTGTTACAAACCTAACCCAAAACAGTGGCCACTTATAATTTTTATTCAAGGGTTGATGTCTGAGTTTCTACTTCCTCAGAGAAGTTTTCTGGACCCTAAACACCAAGTCACCACCTGTAAAACAATCATAGTACCTACCTTAGAGAGTACTGGTCTTGTTTGGTTGTTTTTGTGGTACTGGGGTTTGAATTTGGGACCTTGGCTTGCTAGGAAAATGCTTTACCTCTTGAGCTATGACCCATAGTCTTTTTGCTTTTAGTTAATTTTTCAGATAGGGTCTCAAGAGTTTGCAGTGGCTGGCCTTAGACTGAGATTTTTCTATCTGTGCCTCCTGAGTAATTGGGATTACAGGTGTGAGCCACCATGCCCAGCCAAGATAGTGGTTCTTATGGGCTCCTTACTATACATTCCCAGTACTCAGGAACTACCCTTTGCTTCTCTCCAAGGACAGTAACTGGTTTGGTCTTGACTGATTCAGGGAAAAACTGAAATGCCCTCCTGGGCTTTACACCTGCAGTGCCTGGGGGAGCTAGAGCTGCTGAAGCTGCTGGGTCCTTGAGGCCCAGAAAGCCTGATTGAACTCCACACCTCCCTCTCCCAACCAGCCATCCTGCCAGGGGAGGCTTAGCTCTCTGCTCTGAGGCACAGTGCTTCAGGCCCAGGATGCAGTAGGTTTGGGTAGCCTTCACTGTCCTCCATAGAGAGGACTTCCAGTTAACTGGCCCACCCAGAAAGCTGCCCATTCTGGTCTCCAGTGCCCAGGGTGTGAGGCTCAAAACCTTTGTTGTTCCTCAGGACCAAAGCATTCCAGCCTCTCTCCCTTGCCTCCTCTAGGAAGCTTTGCTGCTGTTCTGTCTGGGGGTGGTGGTGAAAGTTCCTCCCTGGGCATGGCAGGCAGTGACTGTCTCATCTGGAGTCTGTGAGGCAGATGCTGGTCCCTCTATGGCTCTTGGACTCTGGTTCCTGCCCAGCGTCATGTGACTGGACAGGGACAGAACCAGGATTTGGACCCAGGCGCTTTAGCTCTACCCTGCCCTGTGGCTACCTGTCATACCATCCTGTTCCTGTTAGAGTTTGTCACCCAGCCTTCCCTGTCTCCAGGCTTCCCTCATCCAGGCCTAACTTGGAACAAATGTTCAGTATTTGCTAAGTTTTGACCAAAACTTAGCCATCAAAATGCCTCTTAGCTGCTTGTGTTCAGACACTAG